AGTTGTAGAGAGCGATAAGGTCTCCCCTCAGCCTCCTCTTCTCCAGACTAAACAACCCCAGTTCCCTCAGCTGTTCCTCATGAGACTTGTGCTCCAGACCCCTCCCCAGCTTCATTGCCCTTCTCTGGACACGCTCCAGCACCTCAGCATCCTTCTTGCAGTGAGGGGCCCAAAACTGAGCACAGGATTAGGGGTGTGGCCTCACCAGTGCTGAGCCCAGGGGCATGATCACTTCCCTATCTGCATCAAATAAATACAGCTCTTGCTTGCCTGTTTCATCCCAAGGGTCAGGAACTCTCGTGGGAGGCCAGGCCCAGTGCAGGAGAAAAGCTGTCAACACAGGAACAGGCCCCAGCTTCCAGCACTGACCCTGCTCTTGGTAGGGCTGTGGGTCACCCAAAGGCAGAGTCTAAACTGGGTGTCAAAGGAGAAGGTCTTTCCCACAGCATTTGTGACACACAGATGTACATCCTGTCAGAAGTAATGGGAATGAACAGGAGATTAGAAGCTAGGCCAAAGGATGGAAATTTTTTTTTTTGTGAGGGATAATAAAGATGTATTGGTCTGCTTGCTAGAGCAGAGAACTATTTCCTTGTTGAGGAATGGGATAAACCTCTTGCTGCTTTTCCCCATTTCAGGATGAATAGTGGTTTAGTGTCTTTTCTCTGTTTCAGATAAAAAGGCAATCCCAGGGAAGCAATTAGACTCATGATAAATACCCAAACACTTGTTCAACATACCTATCTACATTACAGATAACATAGCTATATAACCAACACTACTTTTTCCCCTCAACACATTGGTTTAAAATGAGAAAACAGGATTATAAAGTAGTTGTTCAGAAATAAGCCTGAGGAGAAACAGAAAGAGACCATGCACACTTCAATCTATCCTGCCTTTTACAGACCTCGTGTTCTGAGGTTTTCTTCCCCAACCACAATAAAAAATCCTTCCCCCACTTACTTCCAGAGATGCAATGCTTGTAATAATAACAACCTGTATGTAATATAAATTATTTTGTAAAGGTTCTCCTAGATCTAGAGTGGTTTTCCTTTGTGGTGTTGGCAGTTTCTTGCTAGGGAGACGCTAGGTCCCTTGCATGGAAAACCCGTTAAAACAAAAAAACACTGTCTACTGATCATTAAGCCTCGAGGTTGAACATGTCCTGCCATGGCAGACTGGTAACCATGACAGCAATAGACTTACTTCCCTCCATTTTGGGACATTTTCCCAATCGTTTTTCTAGTCAGTGTGAATCATGAGCCAGAGCTGGGAAAGTTTCTTTTCAGGAGGGCCTTACCGGTTTCTGGCTGGCTGCCACAGGCAAATTTAAAAACCCAAGGAGCAATAATAAATTTAGTGCTACAGGTTTATGCTGAAAAAGATGCAAAAATCCAAGAATACTCGTCAAAATTCTAGTTATGCAGAGGGTTTTTTTGTAGTTTTTAAAAAAAAAAAGAGTTACAGTAATGAAATGAACCAAGTATTTTTCTGGCCCACAGATCCTCTTCTGTGCTGACAGCTACGTGCTCTCAGCCCTCCCGGCAGCACATGTCAAGGAAGTACATTTCTTGACTTTCAGCCACAGAACTAAGAGTTCCCCAACACAACCAGCGGTGGAAAAAAAACCAGGAGAGCATGAAACACACCAAAGACACACTCCTGCATCTACTAGGAGGGGCAAATTCAATCCACATTTGCATGAAATTCTTCAGCTCCACATTAGAAGCCTCGAGAAAAATCTGATTTAAAATTGCCCCAAAAGCTCCTGCAATGTTTTTTATTCAGTCACCACCAGATGGAGTAGAACCTCAGCAAACAGGCCCTTTGTCTCTGAAGAAAGGAGACCCTTCTAACTGAACCAGCCATTTAACAATCAAGAACCCCATTTTCTACTTCCACCTGTGCTACAAACTTTCTTGCTCACTCTGGGCAAGTCTCTGCCTGAAAATTAGAATTGTAGTTCAAGCCACTCATTTAGCAAATTTCTAAGTCTCTGAATGTTGATGGAGAAAGATAAGGACCTCCAGGTACCTCAGTTTTTTTATGAAGGGATGAAAGTTGAATCTCTTCAGAGATGCTCAGTGTGCAACAGTTGAAGGAAATGGCAACTTTTAAATTTTATTGTACTCTTTTTACAGATTAAGGGCCATCTGTAACACCTGCAGCCTCCTGAAACAGTTTCCTGGCTGCAACAATCAACTGGGAGAACTGGAGCCAGGCAGAGCCTGACTGTACCTGTCCCTCATCAGCCTTTCGCCAAGACAGGAAACAGGAGTAAGCAATTACAGAAACTGACAAAGAACAGACCTACAGCTGCCTTGCAGGCAATGGGGAAGAACATGTGTTAATGCCTTTCAGGATATTTTTGGTAGGTTTCTCCAATACTAGGGTCAAAGCATGCTTCTTTTGCTGAAGAATTTCAGCACTGGAGCTCTCAAGGTATGTTACACAAAAGTACATATTAAAAGGTTAAAAAGTTTTGGAGAATATTAAGCTCTTCATTAAATTCTTTTCCAATGATTATAACTCTACTAGGTCTGTATCTTCCAGAAGATGCACAATAAAAAAAATTCAATTTTTTCCCTTTTTTTAGTCTAGAACAAGGCAACTCTAGGATGAAACCACCCTAATCAAATAAATACCCAACTTTTAGGTTCACTTGAGTTTTATGGGTCTGAACGTGGAAAAGGAGTTTGTTCCCTTGAGGTCTATATTCAAAATATTTACTCCAACACTGACTTATTTTATCTCCTAAAAGCAGATGGGTTGACTACATAAAGGAGAATTTCTTCTTTTCCATGGCTCACTCCAGCTCTACTTTTGCAAGTTCACATTCTCTAGTTCTTCCCTTCGTTAACACCTTGAATCTGATTTCAGCTCCATCCACGTTTCTCAGAGAAAACCTGCTGGAATATTTGTCCACATTTCAAGAGAACAAGTCTTCAGCTCATTCATAAGTTAATACAGAAGTTAAAATTGACCCTAATTGTGTTAGGCCTCTCCCTAGTCAAGCACCACCCTTCCTTTCCTTCCTCTGAAACAGAGCAGCTCAGTTGTTGGAACATACCACTTACTTACACACCAAAAAAAACCCAACCATGGATGAAAAATCCTTGCTGCTTTTGTATCCCATTTCACTCTCAACCCTGGGCCTGTGAAAACACATAAGGTCTCATCTAACAGCGCGCAACTGTAAAGCGCCTGCAAAGGCTGAGCAGTACCAGCCTCCAACCCAAGTGTTTGCCGTATAGTTTAGCTCATCTATCAAAGCACTTTCCTTGAAGGCTGTAGGAAGCCTGAGCACTCCCACGGTCTTCTTGGAGCGCTCTCCCAACCACATCCCCACCCCACAATTTTTCAGACTCTGCCAAGCCCACATACTTTCCACAGAAGGAACTGCGAGGTATATGGGCCATCGCTGCTGCATAAACGCTGGTTCATACTGTGCCAGCAGTTCTGTAGATGCAGTAGAATTAGAGGTTAAAAACCACCTCCAGGCTCCAGTCTCGCCTGTCTTCCTCTCTCTCTTCAGCTGATTTGTGTTCAGCTCTGCAGGTATTTGCCTCTCCCCCTCCAGGATTCAGGCTTGTACCTGGTTCTGCCAAACTCCATGGTTTTACACTTGGCTTCCTGATCACGTCCCCATGACCGGTCAGGCAAGGGCACCCCTTCCGAGGATAAGCATGCTGGTCATTTGGCTGGTGCAAGAAAAAGGTGGTCCAGAATCCAGCTCAGTTTAACACTAGTTCTGGACAGACCTCCTGTGGTACAACGGTACTACTACACCTCCTCCGTTGTAAGGACAAAGATTTAAGGGGAAAAATAAAATTATATATTACAGACTAAGACTTGTAATCTACTTGCCAGCTTTGGACTTCATTTTTTGCAGGCTCCCAAGGACACAAATCAAAATTGGCTTAGTCATATTACCTCAAACTGAACAGGTAGTTTAAACAGAGCATTTACAAGCTTCCCAAACTGCAACAAACAGGAAAAAGCAATATCCTGAAAGATAAAAGCCAGATATGCACTTAAGAAGTCAGCAGCAGACAGGACTACTGAACTTAATCTACTGATCAAAAAAAAAAAAAAAGCACCATTATGTTGCCAACGATGGCGCACTTGTATGTATATAATATCCTAACACATTCTTTTCAAGTAATATGTCAGGATGAAGGATAAGAAGAGCACAGTAGGGTGGGGGGGGAAGAATGTAGATGGTTTGGCTTCAGTAGATGTCATTAACCATTAACCTTCCTCATTCGGGTACATACAGCCATCATGCAATGTCTCGGACCAAATCCAAACTACGAACACTAGCTCTGCAACTATACCCTGACAAGAGATACACAAGTGTTCTGAACACAGATTATGGCTGTTAAGTCTCTTATGATTTTCCCTCTTCCATTTTTATTAATTGTACATATTTTAAAGCTATACGAAATAATATTGATTTTAGAATTCATTATTTCTACGTCAAGTAAAACATTGATGAGGCTATTTGTGGATACTGACGAGAGACAAATAAAATATATTTCCAATAACTAACTTCAAATTAAAATAATTGTGCTAACCAAACAGACAGAATCCAAACAGTACAGCAATGTGATCCACAATAAAAAAAAAAAGCCAGTAAAACTTTTTTCTCCCTAGTCAGTAACAGACGTGGTGAAAACCATATCCCAATTTGGGATTATTAAAACTTAATCAATTTCAATGTGCAACTAACTGAAAGAATAAGTTCAAAATATTTTTTAGCAGTGATTTAACATTTATTTATACTATATTCCTAAGTATAGTATTTCCTTTGTGTGGCCCCTGGATAATATTCAATAGCTTCATTAGGTTTTTGGTTAAAAAGGCACAAACACAGCTGCAAGTATACACATACCAAATTTCTAGCAAGTTACCGTATATTTATAGCTATACGCAAAGCAGTTTCACAGGCTGTAAGGGAAAACTCATTGTGGGAAATAATTAAAATGGACAATTCAGAAAACTTTACAAAAATACTTCTTTTTATTAAAAGCAGCAATTTCAAGCAGAACAATACACAGAATGTAAACATCACTAAGTTCAGCTCCAGCCTGCCAAACCTTTGAGAAAATCTACACTAAATGCATCTACCATACTAGCGAGTTAACAGACTGTATTATAATTTGAAAATATATTTTCTACTTTGAATTAAGAAAAAAGTAATTTATCGTAGTCTGTCCCAGCGCCAGATACTGGCATCATCACACACAGCTATAAGGATACTACTATCCCTGCTAAAACTGGTTTGTCGAATGGCAGCAACACATTTAGGATGAGTAAGAGTCGTACACCTATAAATAAAAGAAAATTATTCAGCTGCAATGTTAAATCTGCACTTGCTACTACATTATGGAGTGCTGTTTCACCAACCCTTACTTATGTGACCTAGGAAGAATTGAAGGGCACCAGGATTACGCCCTTCATGGTGTATTTTGTATTCCAAATGTGGACTTGGGAAAGCAGTCATTTCCTGTTCACTGCCATTTCTCATGCACCCAATTTTCACTGACGCGCTGGCTGAAAGCTGACTGAATCACGTTATTTAACGCTTCGTGATCAGTGTTCTTTCCCAGTGGTTAGGAATGAAGTATTGTAATTGGGTGATTAAAGACTGCAGCATTTTCAGGAACTCCGTACATTTATGTGTATATATACACGTGCACACACACACGTATTTATATAGATTACATAAATTATATATAATTATATATTTTATATGTAGTGTATATACAACCATAAGGCATATATTATTTATATACATATATACATTTTATAGACATAATGTGTTTGGGCTTTGGGTGGGGGTTTTTTTTCCAGTATGTTTTTTTATATATAAATATAAAAGACATGCTGTAAAATTGCCTGGCCACACAGCTGCAGAACTGGAAAGCCATACTGTTTCCTCCACATTACGCTCAAAGCTAACCTTTATATTCTCATTACTCTAGTCCTTTTACCTATTTCTCCTTTGTGCTGTGCTACACCCAGCCAGCACATCTTAGTTCCACCTAATTAATTTGTAAGCTTTTTGAGGAATAAATTGTCTTTTACTATATCTACATATGGTACCCAGCGCAATCTGATTGGGGGCCTCTTGGCACTACTGTAATATAATAATAAATCAGTAAAAAATAACAAATGTTAACCTTCAGGGGCTCAGAATGTTTACTTACCTAGTGGTTAAAATGGAAAGTGACTTAGTACTGCTAAAGAATTTCTACAGTTATCAGTAAAGGAAAAGGGAAAGTATCCCAACTCCCTATCTTAACAAAAAAAAAAAAAAATTTAAAAAGTACTCACTTGGCTTTATGAGGATCCTCTATTTCTAAATCCCAAACATAAAGTTTGCCAACCTGATTGCCCAGAGCAAGCATCTTTAAAAGAAAGCAGAGAATACACAAGTTTTAAAACACCATCTTAATGAGTGGAAGTCAGATTTTTATAAAGGCTCTATAGTTGATAAAGTATGTGTGAATGTTTAAACATGAACAGCTTAATGAGTTTGTTGGAGGGATTACAAATGCTGTAACATTCGCCGCCTCCCTCCCACTTTATTATCCATCTCTGGATGGGGCAGGAAAATATCAGCAAACATAGCTTTGGTGGAAAATAAATATTTGGTGAAGCTTTTTCCACTTGGCAGAGCCCAGAATGAAAAACCTGGAGCTCCTCCAGTTTCATATAAAGCCCCTTGCAGCAAACCATTAGATTTTTCAAATATGACATGAACCAAGACTTTTCCCATGCCCATAAACATGGAATCAATGAAAAGCTACACACCTTCAAATACAGCAAAGTCAAAGCTCACACATACCTTTTGCCAGAAATCCATTGAAAACCTCATGTACCATATATCACACTGGCTGTAATCAAATCTCCCAAGTATGGTCACATTTGACTCACTGGGTTTGATTTTATCTATATCATCTTCCATTTTGCCAGGTTTCCAGCACACAATGGCGTTTTCACAAGACTGGGGTGAAACAATGGAAAAAAAAAAAATCACCTATATTTGTAATTTATACTGCACATTCAGTCTAACTATAACTGTAACCAAATATTTAGTCTCACAGCTTCCCCAATGACATTAAAGTACAACTGAAAATCTCACCTGTCCTTAGATCACAGTCACATCACCGACAATACGTCACTGCCCATTCCTGGGAGCCTGCTGCTATCACTGGCTGCTTTGCCAGGTAACAGGACCGCAGGAGCCCGCCCTCATCCACTTCAGAGAAAGTCAAACAGATGTGCTCAAACACACTTTCACGAGCAGTTTAAATTAACCTTGATTTGAGGATTGTTCACCCAATCCCTTTGACCAACAGGACCAATTTCTGGCAACGAGGCAGCTGACTGCCTACTTTAATACCTGCAAGCCAATGTTACTAGTGGACATAACACTCTAATCAAAGTTACTCCATTATGGGAATCCTCATTTCTCCCTTTAGCAGCAGGATCCTTATTGGTATCTATCTATTCTCTTTCTGTACATTCCACACAGATTCTAGTTAGCCAATATCCCTGTACTTTTAGCAGGGGTACAGCTGTAGTAATAATTTTACTTTTTAAGTACAAGCTGCTTACCCACACATCCTAACAGTTGACAAAATTCACAACACATCGCATAAAATCATATGACAGAGAATACTAAGTTAACCCAAGACACAAATTCTAGTAAAATTTCTGCTGTTTAAGATCTTCAAAACAAGCAAATATGAGTAACATAGCTGAAAAAGCTTCCACTTTACCTTGGAAAGAATTAGATCTCCCAACCATCGTACACAGTCAACATAGTTTCTATGTATGTCTCTCGTAGAAAAGTCAGGAAAGTGAATTTTCTGGGAAATAAAAGGCCTATGGAGAAAATTGCCAGGTGAGGTTCAGAGAAACACAGAAGCACAAGTCTAATTTTCAATGGCCAGTTTTAAGATAACTCGATGTTAGAAGGATAAGCCTGTCTTCTTTTGCTGTTTTAACAGTTTTATAACAAAGCCAATTTTGTATGTTGTTGTGTTGTGTTTTTCTTTAAATAATGGGAACAGTGTCGGTTTTCATCCTCATTCCTAATGAAATAACATTTCCCACTGTACAAGACTGTGCAGAGACAGTGCTAAACAAAACCACTTCTTCAGATGCTAAATACAGCTTCCATTGCCAACTACTTCAAGAACTAATTAAAGCTCAGTCTGCCTGATGCTGCTTTTGCAACATCTAAATTGTTACATGGAAAAGCACTCTAAAAAAATCCATCATTTAAAAAAAAAAAAAAACCAAACAAAAAAACCCCCAAAAACACAACACATGCTAAAAAAGCATCATTTAATATTTGGTAACATTACCAAAAAAAGCAAGAGTATTTTCACAGCTAGTCTCATTGCTGAACATGTTCAGTGTGTTTTAGACTCTTCAGTTCTCTCAGTGGTTTAACTGGAAGTTAAGATTAAAAAATTGATGAACTTCATAGAGGAGGATTTATCTATCATTTATCTGATTGCTATGTTTACTTGACAATTTACTCACATCTGTGGCCAGATCAGCCAATGATGAAAACTGAAGTTATTACTACATAAACCGTTTTATCCGCACCCCAAAGTAACATAACAGATAAAATAATTAGTAGTAAGAAGTATTTGCTATATTTAATTACATGGATTTGATTCCTTCCTAGAAATTTTGAGGCAAGAGAAAGAAAAGCCATTGATATCTTGAAACACAGTGAAATAGAAGCTTTAATTAGGAATGATAGTGATAATAATTTCCGACATTTTCTAGTCAAGCAGATAAGAAATAACTAAGATATTTTTAAATAAGAATGTCAGGACTTTGAATCTGAATTCAGTAAAATTCTACCAAAGTAAACATCAGAGAGACACATCTTCTAGGGAGACTCAGTATCCAGCACAATCCCCAGGTCACTCACTATCCCCAGGAACTCCCAATTTGGATAAGAATTAACCAGGACCATTGATAACAATATTCATGTTTTCAAGCACAGCCAAGAAGATGAAGACTACGTACCTGTTGGTTTTATTTGGGTTGTACTCATAAGACTCTTTGATGGCATTTATCATTCTTTTGGAATTAATTCTCCAGAGTTTTAGAGAGTGATCCATCCCACAGGACATGATTTTTTCACCAAGAAGATCATAATCCTATGTATATGAAATAATTTTGAGGATCCCCAGCCTAAGTTGCATTATATCAACTCAGATTTTATTCCATCATTTCCATCAAAACAGCATTTTTGGCTTAGAGAATGCAATACAACTGTGTATTTCAAATAGAAAAATAGTAATAACTTAATCCTGCTCACTGCAAAGAAGCACAATATCTTAATAATTATATTTACTCTCTCTCAAGAGAGAGAGGCATATTCAACAGCACTGACAGACAATGAATCTACTGCTAGTGCTCTCCCCTCAGTAAATTCCCTAGGTTTCATTTTATGGAGCAACTTTGGCAGAATTCCAGGGCTACAACATGGGTGATGACTATTTACAACCACAAGAGAATAATACGGTATCAGGTTTACATACAGATGCACCCCTCACCTTTCAGGTCACACAACAGGAAAGGAAATGAAACAGTTCTTAAGAGCAGCATATTAAAAGTCAGCTATTCTAGTTGATATTTGCTGGGTACCAGTGTCTGTTCACAGCCACTGAAAAGCAGCATAACTCACCTGAAATAACTTCTTTCCTTCACTACTGTCTCTCAGAGTTTATTTGCTCTTGCTGCTTTGGCTTGATTAAGACCTCAAGAACTTCAAAAGTGGGACCACCATGAAAACTTTTTTCTCTTTCTAGCCCCACTGATCTCTATTTGGTTTACTTCTAGGCTGCACTGTGAGAAAACTAGCTACTGAAACATATAGAAGGTGAACACCTGCCCTGTATATTGAGAGGTGGCCAGATCAATCAAACCACCTTACATTTAAACTTGTCTACCCCCTTAAAACAGTATTTATGCACTTCAGGGGTTTTTTAAGTAGGTATAATATCAAAAACAGTGCACAAGAGGATAAAGAGTTGCACATTGTAGGCTTACTACCCTCTGTGAGTCTAAATCACTGCCCCACAGTCTTCCACTTACTGCACTTAACACCTCATCCCTGTGCCCTTCTACTCCTCCAAATATTGCAACCAGCGTGTCTGTCTGGATGTTCCACAGTCTCAATGCATGATCTATAAAGAACAAATAAAATTACATGCTGCTTTTTATATGTACATATGAATAATATATTTCAGCTTAACCACTTTCAATAAAAGGTGTTCATGTAAACATCAAAAAGGCACTTCTTCACTTGTTAGAAACAACAAAACTGCATTAACTAAAATTGCCATTACAGCTGAACTACTGTTAGAGTAATTATGTAATGGACAAAGCGTGCCCACTCCCGTCCCCTAGCGACAGCTTCTAGCAAAAATATTCTTGGATCTTTAGATCATATGAAAAGCAAAGAGAAGTCTTGGGCAAGTATGCTTTTATTCAGTCTTATCTCAAAACCAATTTCATGTATAAAAAAATGCTAGAATTCCTTTCAGCCACTCTTACCTCAGCATTCAGAGAAGTTTTGATTTTCCATTTTTTTAATCTTTAAATATTATTTTTTCTGAACCACAGACTGTAGGGCTGGGAAAAACCATTTCTATAAACTATACGTATTCCAAAGTCAATCAGACTAAACCACTTGTTTAAAGAAATCTTTTAACAATTTCTAATGAAGAACCTCTACTGTATGTCCCATTTGGAAATGGGAACCACTAGTGTATTGCCCTTTTGGATTCCACAAGAACACTGCACTGAATCACAGTAACACCAACTGGAGGGCCACATAGTCCCAAGTATTTTCTTCTTTTTCTACTCATCTCTTAGCCAAGCAGTTCTGAGACTCCAATATTCTCCTGCCTCATGCCTTCTCAGAGATAGTACCTGGTCTGGAGATTGCACATTAAAACTTGTAGTACTAAGGCTGATGTCAAAATGTTATTAAAAAGAGAATGTAAAAAAAAATATACAGAACTCAAGAAATTCAACATTACAGACCCACAGCACAAACTTGACATTTGCAAGAATCAGAGAGGTTCCCAACTCCTATTCTCATGTAGCTTCATCAGTAATACCAAACACACTAAAGTCAAAAGTCCCCTTATGTGAATGCTTACAATTCAAGCACTCCTGAAGGCTTGCTCTTGTGGCAGATCAAGTATTCCCTTAACAAAACAGTCAAGATTAGGCAGTTGTGACTGTTCAGACGTTCTGGAAAAGGCCATAAGCCACCGTACCAAAATCTCGCTTCTCCCTTCACTAATATGCTTTTTAAACAAAGCTGAATTAAAGTCTGAGCTGCTGCTGAGCGGCAGGGAATCAAAGTTTTCCCCAGGAACACGGTGGTGAACGCTGCCTGCGGCATTAAGACATCCCCACCAGATGGCAACATGATCCAACAACTGAAAAAAAATTAACTGTTAGAAAGAGCAACCCCAATGCTCATGTTTCTTCTTCCCCAAAAGCAGCACTGTTCACAATCCCTTCGCACCGCAGGTGGAGTTATGTTTATTCCAGGCCATGGATTTAATATGTACAAGATATATAGCCATAAAAGAGCAAGATTCGCTCTCAACTTTCCAGGTAAATTTATTCAGTGCTGTTCATAAAAAATTCATGGAGGTTTTGGTCATTTTCAAGACCAAAATCCAATCCAAAGTATCCTGATTTATACAAAAACAAAAGAATTTATTTTCCTCACCTTTGCTTACAGATAAAAGGAGATTTGGATCTCTTGGATGGAATTTCAGTTCATTGATTGCATTTCCATGGCCCACGTAGTGCTGGGATAGAATTCAGAGACTAAGTTATCATTTCCGCTCATGTTTACATGTATTAAGAAGACATAAGTTTCATGCCTTACTGAATTGCAAGCTGTATCTCAAAGTTTGGAGCACTCACCTTTATGCACTGCATTGTAATAGGATTAATTATCCTAATAATACCCCTGGACCCAGCCACAGCCAGAAGAGGATGGCTTGTATTGCTATCATATGTCCACGCACAGGTATAGAAGTTTTCATCTGCCTACAACATCTCACATTAAGGAACACAGAAGAAACAGGAGATTTTTTTTTTTTTCCAAATAATGTGATTTTTAAGTAAACTCGTTGCTATTTTATGCAAATGCCCAGGAGTCTCTGATGAATCCAATAAGAAAAAGATACATATTTGATTATACATCTGCAAATACAAGCAACATCGCCTTTTCTACAGGTGCCAGTTTCCTCACTTCTGTTCCATAAGATACAAGGAACACCTTCTGTCTCTTGGCATCACTTTTCAACCTCTTTCTCCAAAGCATCCAAAGACTGGGAATAAAATGAGGATGAATCAAGACTGAGTTCACAAGTTATTGACTTGTGTACTGCAAATGATCAACACAAGTTGTTACCACTTTAGAGCATGAAACATAATGCTTAGGCTTTAAACCCAGCTCCAATTCACAGGGAAACATACCACTGTAAAGCAGCGCATGTGAAACATTAGACAAATATTAGTGTTGGGAAGATTAAACTGATGGAGAATCAGTTTTCAAATATTTTAACACAGCACAGTTCACGAGTTTGGGTTTTTAATATTTTTTCAATAGGAGGGACTCGAGGATGTGGGAAGGAGTTAAGTCTTGGACCTAACATTAGGAATGTGCCACATGAGAAAAGTATTAAATCACAGACTTCATATGCTTTTTCCTACAAAGCCTCTTCATTTTTGATAAACAGGAAGCAAACAAGTGGCTTTTTAACTTAAAAAGATACATCAGCATCCACATAGGACTGCAACAGACGGATTTCACCTTGAGAATGACATTCATATAAAGTAACCTGGAGAAAAAAAAGTGAGAGAGATTCCGGCTTACTTGTGATATTTGAGAAGGAAATCACATGCACCTGTATATTCACTGCCTGATTGGGAGAGGTAGTGTGCCTTTATGGTTTAGATCTCATCCATCGTCTGTTTGTTTCCAACAGGTGGAAACGGTTTGATAAAAGAATGCACATAGTCTCAGTAAAGCACCACCCCAGGACTTGCCCATAATCCTTCCCAGATATTAAAATCTGTTATTTGAATTATCTTAGTAAGATTAAATTGTACTTGGCATTAGTTACTGCAGCTATCTCTAGCATGACTTGGTCTTTTAATGAGCCATTGATACCTTGTTTAATCTTAGTTTAGCACTTTTGGTAACTGCCAGGTGGAACAAACAAGAAGCCTTTCATTCCAGGTTTATTCACAACAGTTGCATAGAATCCACTTCAGGAGTCATTTTCAGGACTGAAATGACATAGATCCTTGTTCAGAAAAAGCCTATAAATTCACTTCACAGAGGCCATTAATTTAGCTGCTGAGCTGCCTGGCATCACTGCAAACACTTCTCATGCCATTTTTGAGCATATGACCTTTCAGAAACAATAACATCTATGCAGAGTAATTTTACCATGAAGAAACTTTTATGCACCTCTCTTCCTTATCCTGTGTTTATATTACTGAAGGATTTTTTTTCTTTATTATGTAGGCTAATGCCCAAATAGCTAACACATGACTTCATAAAACAACCCAGAGGATGCAACTCTCCCAGATAACAGATGGTACATACCTCAGAAATAAAGCTTTCTATCCTGTGTCTGTACTAAACAGAGGTAAAGCAATTGCTTGAAAAAGAAGAATGCAAGAAGAACCATATGGAAGGGCTTATGGTTAAAAACAGATTACTCACTCGGTTGCTGCCCACAGTGGCAAAAACGAGAGGATCACCTTCTTTACTGTGCCAGTTAAACTGGACTCCAAACAACGGCTGACCATGGTCCTCCTGTAGTTGTAAAGTAAGATTAGAGACAAAACAAGAAAAAGAAAAAAACAACACAAAACTGACAGGCATATTATTTCTGTGAAATTCAGTTGTGGTGGTAAATGGTTTAACTGATATTGTGTCCTCCTCAAACTACTGGGTTCACATCCAGTATAATTTCAGATAGCGAATAGTTAAAAAGAACAGTTTTGTATCACATTTTAACTTGGCTGTCTTAAGGGAAGTTAAAGTAATATTCTGACACTTCCCTCTCTTCCCTCACCAAGCTTTTAAAAAAGTTAAGGGGAAGAACTGTTGTCTCACAGTTATGGCCAGAAGCTGGCAGAACTCCCAAGTTCTATTTGCAGCTCTACTACTTTGTTTTGCAATTTTCAACAAGGTAACCTCTACAACTAAGGCCACATCTACATGCATTTTATACTGTTACAATTACTTCCACATAAGGATTTACAACTTCACAGAGAAGAATTATACTGGTATAAGGGTGGAGAGAAGGGCCACATTTAACTATTACAGCACAGCTAGGTCTTGCAACTCTATCACAGACACTACAAACTCACTCCAGCATATCACAATGCTGCAGCCATGTTCACGTCTATAAACTGTTTTCATATTGCCTTCACAGTTACCAGAGAAATGCCAAGTATTATTTTTATACAGCTTACATCAGTTTAATAGAGAAGAAAAAAGAAACAGATATGTTTATGAATTGTGATGAATATGGTGGTGCTTGTTAATAATTGATAACAGTATTTTGGCCTGCCCTGACAGGATGTTTTCAGTAAGAATAATGTTCATTAAAGTGCCTCCCCACAGGGGACTGTCTGGGACAGCGCAGGCAGGAAGGAAGTGTCTCATGATGGCTGTTAAGCAGCCTTCAAATGGCAGTGCTTCAGAGAACACGAGAAATACTAGCCCTGGCAGCTCTGGCCTATCTGAGAACCAAAGAACAAATCTGAGGAGGGGGTGTGGGTGGGGAGTCCAACACTACTCAGAAAAAGAAAAGTAAGGAAGTCTGGAAGAATATAAAATAGCATTCTTTAGTGAGAAAGGCAGTATCTGTTATTAACAGAAATGGCTAGAAGAGCTAGAAAGAGAAGGGAGAAAAATCTTTCAGAGATGAACGCCCTCCTGCACTTCTTAAAGAGAGGTAACAACTTTCAAAGCTGAATACAAATTAAAAAGAATTGTTCAAAGTTTAACTCGGAGTATTAGGCATCATATCATGAAAGAACAGACTAGTGGCTTTATGTGATGAGGCAGATGGAATATTAGCAAAGGGAAAAGTAGCAAGGTTATAAGTGACCCCAGGACAGAAGGAAGAAGCAGGTATCCAGCATCTGTAAAGCATTATAGTTTAATGAGAGATGAAGAATGAGGAAAACTGTATGCCATAAAATTACATACACAAGGCCATGATTTTTAGTGTCAAATAAAGTTATAAGTTTTACTTTCTAAGCTTATTTTTTGAGTGTATTTAAGTTATCTTTGAAGAGAATGACTGAGAAGTCAAACACAGCATACTTTAAAAAAACCCAACAATTTCCACTAATAATTAGTTGGTTTTGAATTTTTGGGTGAAAGAATTCACGCTGGTGAATACTGAGGACTTTTGATATACTGCATGAGGATAACACAGGAAAAATGCATGGATTCTTATTGCTTTATTACAGAGACATATTAGCAGGTTTTGTGCTTGTTTTTCTAGAATAACCTTGTTCTTTGTCATGTAAACTGTTCCTGACAAATTAGTGAAACAGGAAAAGTGAAGAGGAAGATGTTTTTCCCCCTCAAGATCGGATATTCCTCCAGCAGAAGCTGTGATGAATTTTATTTTCTAGGTAGGACCCAGCCTAGGGTGATACATAGTAAGTAGAGAGATTACAACACAGGGCTATACTGTTTCTATATTTCAAAGACAACATGTTTCCCTGGAAAAATTACTCTGCGAGACCAAAGTCTTTAGACCGCTTATATCATCCACACTGCATTCCTCACCTCGAGTGCTACAACCTCCAAGAACCTGACTGTACATATCGCAGTTTTTCTAGTGTTTAATAGATGAAGGAATGAGGCAGAGGCTCTTGCAGGAAGTCACTAAGGTATCGGAAGAAGTTATGTTCACTTCATTTAAACCACCATCATCCTCACTGGTCAGAGGCAGCACATAGCTAATGTGTCCTGTCCACTCTAATTTTAGTCCCAAGTGCTAAACAATGAAACAGGTTTTTAAAAAAAAAATTACACTTTTAGGTGCTGCACATTATGGTTATCCTGAGATGCCAAGTATGTCACGCAAATCTGACTACTGGTTTGTACAGACAGAAAAGTGATCCATATGCTGGTCCAAAAGTAGAATTGTGAAATGCCATTTTGACCCTGGTCAAATAAAGGGCACAAAACCCAATGTACTCAGGTTCTTCCTGCACTGGTAAAAGACAGCAGAGGAAAAGACAGACCTACAATTGTTACAAAAGCAAATAAATAAATAACCAATGGTTAGTTGTGTCCTTACTCAACACCAACTCAGGTTCAGACAGTAAGACTAGACCTGTTTTTAGACTGAAGGCAGTGAAGTAAATACTACGCCAACACAAAAAAGAATCATCTGCAACTACATTAACACATTTTAATAGCCTGTCACCCACACTGCCAGCCAGGAACCAAATGACCACGCATGCATTTCCAGTTCCCTGAAGAGAAAGCAAGCCATTATTGGCAGTGGGTTTAGTTACCTCTCCTTTACAAGTTACAATGCTGCATGTGGTTGCTTACTGATCCCCAGCTCAGGGGACAGTGAGTAGAAGCTGAGACAACACTGAACTGCTAACAACCACTGAGCCACACCCTAAGCAGGAGCAAAGGATAGGGCCAACAATAGCATTGTTTTAAAGGGAGCACATCAAAGCAGAATACACACAATTTGCTGGAAGATCTATAAGCAAAACATATACAGATATATGTGAGGGTGTGCATCTGTTAGCTGTATATGCTCATTTATAAACTATGTTTCCATTCAGCCCACAGAGAGGAAAGATTTTTCAGCACACCTTACAGTAACTTAGTAAAGCCAAAAAAAAAAAAGGCAGTGTTTTACTTCCTGTCATTTCCCAAGTTATATTTTTGTTTTTCCTGATGCTTAAATTTCACCCAAAATAACTTCCACAGTAGTGTTTAAAAAGCATATTTAGCAAGCACTGAGTTTTTCAGGCTGAATCATAACCATTTAACATTCAAAGTAGGCTGTAATGGCCATACTACTTAGTTTCCCTAAGGAAAAAAAGTAAAAAGAAGAGGGAAAAACAAGAGTAGGAAAGCGGAAGAACACACAATTTATACATCCCTAAAGAATATTGACATTAATTTCCTTGTCTTTAAATCATGATGGCTTTCATTAATTTCAGTAGATGCACCTTACAGCATAGTTCAAAGACATACAAACTGCAGGATATATGTTGTGATATCCAAAGAGCCACAAGTGCCTTTCTGAACACATATACAACATGCAATTGTTAGAGTTTATCTCCACAGTATCTACAAAATTAGCATGGAGGAACAGGAAAAAGAAAAGAAGAGAGGCTTCCTCAAACATTAAGTAAAAAGGAGTTAAAATTTGACTGCTACTAGTCTTCGTATTAACATGCATGTTTATTATTATTAGCATTAATTTCAGGTCAAAGAGAAATGGGAAGTTAATAAAAATATCCCACTTAGCTGAAACACTACATTTACTCCTTCACAGCTTGATTCCACTTGCACAGGAATCTGTTCCCAGGCCCTGATCCAAATCCATGGAAGTAAGGGATGGCTTAACTTCATAGGGTGGGCTTTTGGGTCACCCTAGAGTGGGGCCTGGGTTGAAGTCAGGGTGAGGGAATGTTCTGTTTTCCCAGAAAACACTTGAAAAGTACTAACCCCTTTGGAAAATTTGGTCTGCAGATAGAAAACAAACGTGCTTCGCAAAACTCAGAACCTGTTAAATGTTTGGGTGCCGAAAAGCCCGCGTCTGTGCTTGAAGCATGACTGGAAGTCACAGAAAGCACTATCTGCGGGGGCAATTCATGCGAATCACAGAACAGGTGCCTACCTAAGTGAAAATGAAAGCGCTTCCCTTCCTCCTACACCCTGAAAGGACTGGAGATAACTTTTATATTTCAAAAAACACAGTAAGATCAACTTGTTTCCCAGATACTTTTGTCAGTGTAACTTCATCGTCACAATTTCTCCAGCAGCAAAGCTCATTTAGGAGGTTTCCATGCCCCAAACCTCTCATTCCCTCCCACTCAGCTACCCCAGCATTTCAATGAGGCAGTCTGAAGCCAAAGTTCAGAAACAGCTACATCAGCACAGCTCAACAGTTAAGCGTGGGGGAATGACAAAAACCTCTTAAAGCAATTCTGCAGCAAATATCCACTATGGAGCTGAACGTGTCCTCTTGTTGGCTAAATATAAAGTTTATCAAAACTCCCATCTTGTTCCAGACGCAGTCTTTATTTAGAAATCCTGTAAAACTCAAATCAGATGGCATTTTTACAGCTTCTGCCACATAAATATCCCACACAAGGCAGGGGAATGAAAGAACAACATCCTGACAGTGTAAAAGAATCAATGAGAAAACTCAGTTTACCATAGTCTGTCACAAGTGCAGAAGAAAACAGTAATACCCTAAAACACAAGAACAGGGAGTAAAGACCATGAATCCACATCCCTTAATACCATCAGGTATTACATGGGAAGATAAATATGACCCAGATCAGGGGTGAACACACAATCACAAGACTTATGATAAATTAACCAAATTGCATTATATATAATGCGTTTATGACACTTGCCAGAGAAGAGAAAAATATCTGATCCGATACATGTGAGGAAAAAGCTACTCCAAGATTGTTGGGTGGTTTGTTTTTCTTTTGAAATACATTTCAATGAGTAGAAAAATCTGCACAGGTTCTGTGCCTTGCATCAAGTTGTCACCGGTTTTGTTTTATTTGAATTTGTTTATCCAGTTTCTTATCAATCTCAAGCAACTACAGCTTCAAGGAAATACATAATTATAACGTATCACATATAACTTTGCAAACCTGTACAAAAATTGGGTTAATCGCAGCACTACATATTGTTTCCTATGTCTCAGTACCCTTTTTCTTCCTTCAGCTACTCCAAATAAGAAAGGTACTTGCTTCAAATGAGCATGGAACATAACTGTATACAGATATTTAAAAATACCTGTCTTGACACTGTCTCACAGTCCACGTTAACATTACTGCCAGCAAGCAGTACCCAGCAATCCCTTGCTGAAGCTTACACATACCTACCTTTAGGCTGTTTACACATTTGAAGGAATATTTGCACTTCTTCGACTTCCATTTTCCTTTCCCCCAGCTTTTTCTTCCTGGTGCGTTAGGAGTGTTTGTTGGCGTATCAGGGCGTTCGGTGTTAGTACCGCTTTCAATACTAACAGCATCATCCTGAAAACATTCAAATTATATAGAATGTAATAAAGATACCATTAACTGCTGTATCACAGAATCACAGAATCATTAAGGTTGGAAAAGACCTTTAAGATCATCAAGTCCAACCATTAACCCAACACCACCATGCCCACTAAACCATGTCTCGAAGCAACACGTCCACACGATTTTTGAACACTTCCAGTGATGGTGACTCCACCACCTCCCTGGGCAGCCCAGGCGTGATCCCTTGGTTAATCATAACGGCCCGAGCCCTGAGGAACACCACTTGTGAATTCAATTCAAATAATTTTGCAGCACTTGGCCTTTTCAGTTTTTCTCCTTTTCCGTAAGGACAGAAGATCTCCTAGGACTTGGTGTTATTTAGATTTATGTATTTAACTCTAGTGCTAACATAATAGCATTCCTTCCTAGAAACAGAACATGAGTCACATGAGGACTAATCCAGGAGGAACAGATGTGAACTGTGATCTAGTGAAGTTTCTTCAGAATACTGGTAGCTGCTCTCAAGAAAATATCTAAAGATAAAAGGGTTGCTTTCCCCAGAAAACATCGTTGACGCAGATGAAATAAGTACTTCTGAAATACTGAAGAAAGAGGTTCTTGTGTAAAAACATTATGCTTCAGCATACCAAGAACCTAACCATTCTGAGAGACTTCTGCAAACCCTCAGCAGCATCAGGCACAGCACAGTTGTGCAATAAGTCAGTACTGTCACTAGAAGAGGAAGTCCCACCCCTCCCTCCTGCTCTTTCCTACTTGCTTCAACTAAAATCTAAGTTTAAAAAAAGAAAATATCAAATTAGCTGATCAGACAGCAAGCTAACTACTCCACCTGGCCCTTCAACTGTCAGCAGCCAGAGCTAAGGAAAGGATGGGGAGAACTGAAACAAGGGGTGCACAAAACAATGCACCCAGTTGCTGAGCGGTTTTAGATCAGCTTTGGACAATTAACAGATGCAATTTCTTATGCAGTCGGACTGCAGGACACTACTCAAAAGGACATTTCTGTTCTCTGCATCACCCATCACTGTACACTTCACCTGCATCATAACTCGCAACCCTGTGCTTCCATTAATAAGCTCAGCTTGTCAAAAATCAACTTTTTTTTTTCCTGGCAAGGTAGTCTGTTCACTTTCCATCAGTTTAGTGGGGGGACACTAACTCATCTCAAGGCCATGTGATTTCTAGATCTGAACTAAGGCAGACAGAGGCAGACAACAGCCTGTCACTGGAAGAGACAAGTGTAACATGAAACTGCCTCAGGAAATCCACTAGGAATACGGAATAAGGTCAGCTATAAACATGAATACACCAATTCCTACCAAACATTTATTCTTTGTCCCAGTTTCACATCTATATCATCAGAAGCCTGCAGAGGTGTACTGGTTTTGGTTACCCAACAACTCTGAAAATCAGGACATTGAGAGGGAAAAAAGGAAGACAGACAACACACAAGGCTGTAAGTGAACTGCCCAAATCTGGAGTCATTCCCTTCACACTGCACCCCTAAAAGAGCCAATCCTCCTCAAAGAAGCATAACTAAGTTTAGCGATTTTTACATTTTCCAGTTTCTTTTCCTTTACCCTAGGAAATTTCAGAGCCTGCCAAATTCTCATCTCCCAAGCACACTTGCTAGCCAGAGTCATGGTACTTTACAAGACTGAAGTTTCCTCTGGACTAGTCAGATATTGCCAGTATAAGAACACCAACTACCTGTGGTATGATGCAACTACACCAGGTATCTGCAATTACAACATTAACTGACAAACTTGCATCCCGGATCCTTGTGGAACAAAACACACCCTTTCTCCAAATCAATACTATTATGACAACTTTTAAGCAGAATCCCCGGCTTTCAGGAGTAGTGGAGTCCAGTAACAAACTCTCGGAAACGGAGTCCTTTCACCACTGAGGTAGGTTCCATTTTCAGTAACCAGACAGCCCACATCCCATGGTCACCGATAGCCTACAACAGACACCAAAGCAAACCTGAACGCCTTTGTCACCAAGTTACGCTTCGATTCATAAATGCTGCTGCTGAGCAGTAAAAAAATCCAGTTGCAGGAGTATGGAGCACCTTGAACCTGCCTGTTGGCCTCACAAGCAACACTTCCACAGGTTATGGGGGACATGGCCCAGATCCCTCACTGTCTGTATAAGTGCTCTAACCAGAAAAAAAACACTGCATAAAGCTAACACCCAAATAGCATCCCCCACTCCAGTAACTACATAAAATGACTGCTAGCTTCCTTAGATTATCTTTCAAGTATAAAGGTATTCTATATCAACCATGTTACTTTTTTTCTGAACACTAGGTTTTACCCTGACTAAGGGATTACAGCCGTTGGCCCGGGCCGCCTTCGTCTGGTGACAGAAGCTTATTATTGCTACTCCTTCAGGCACCAAAGGGCTGCACACATAAATTTATGCTGGGTGTTACACTGCAACGTGACGGTGAGGACACACGACACAGAACTGCGAGAAAGATGGAAAATTTTGCAGTTTTGCACGAAAAAAAAAAGTCTGACATTTTGAAGCGGACTTCAAGTCAGAGACCGTTTACAGCTTGGGCCTCAAATTCTCCCTCACCCACGTGGAGGAAAAGTGTGTGTCTCTCCCCCAGACCCACGCTGGTCCCTCCCACCCGGGCCTCCCTCCGGCGGCCCGTCTGCCTCGAGGGGCAGCCAGGGAACGGCGGCAGGCGGGCTGACACCTCCC